GATTGTGTTGGCTCTTCTGTATCCCTTGCAATTCCATATGAACTTTAGAGTCAGCCTGTCCATTTCTTTTAAAAAGCAGTTAGAATTTGTACAGGGAGTGCACTGAATCTGAAGATCAACTTGGGGAGCACTGCCATCTTGATATTGTTTCCTAGTCCGTGAACATAGGATCTTTACATTTTCATTCAACGTTTTATAGTTTTCCATATATAAGACTCATACTTCTTCGGTTAAATTAACTCCCAAGTATTCTATTCTTTTTGATGCTATTATAAATGAAATTTTCTTAATTCATTTTCAAATTGTTCATTACTAGTATAATTGATTTTATATATTGATCTCATACCCTGCAACTTTACTGAACTTTACTGGACTGCAAGGGACCTTCCCAAGGTCACATAGTAACTGAGTCCCTCCCAGAACCAGGAGTCTTTGGGGCTTAAAAACACAAGTATAAAATAAAAACAAACTTTGCTTGGAAGCTGTCTGTGGTCAGTTGGCTTAGTTTACACCATGGACTTACCAGCCAACTGTTTCAGAGGTCTGGGCAGGGAGCAGCCTGACAGGATGTGCTGGGGAGCCAAGTGGAGATGGCGCTTCTGGGAGAGGGAAGAGTGATGACATCCATGTCCCTGGACAGCAGAGGATTGTGGCTCTCACTGGCCCCCCTGCTCTGCAGAGCTGTTTTCAGGGTGAAGGTTATCTAGACTACTTAATCCAAAGCCCGCCTGTCCAAAGCCAGAGACTTGCTGTCCTTTCCACAGCGGAGGTGTTTCTCCCTTCCCAAACATCTTGTGCCAGCGTGGGAAGTACCTCCATCAGAACAGTGAACAAAGCTCCCCTTCTCCACGGGACAGGAATTGGGAGGGAGGGATCAATGGGATGAGGTTGGGACCAGAGCCCTGATACCTCTAGCCATCGTGACGCTGAGCTCTGACGAGCTGGGAACCTACTGGGGAGTTAGAGTTTGGGCATTGCTCACAGTGTTGTGAGGAATCAGCAAGGGCCACTGCAGCAGAGGCCTCTGAGAAGAAACCACACGTGAACTAGGCCTGCTGGCTGGAAAACTCTGGATGTAGGAAGACAGGGAGCATCCCTGCTTTCCTCTAACAGTCAAGAAGGTGCAGTGATACGACCTGGCCACCACTCAGGTCAAGCTTGCTTCTGGCTCTACAGGCCTCCTGAATTGAGCTCTGGGAGGCCCAGGGACCCCCACATGCAACACCAGGTATGATCCCACCTCCAGCTCCTTGCCAGGCCCCAGTCCACAAGGCAAACACATTAGTTCTGCTCTCGCCCCTGGCTTCAGGAGTGGTGAGAACCAGCTCTGGCTCTTCTGTGATTCTTGGCCAGGTGTCGATCAGCATCTCTCAACTTTAGCTTCTTTACTTACCTGTCAAATGGCTGAGAGGTATGTCCAAGGCATCATCAGCATAGTGCCAAAGTCCATCTGAGCTGACCAGACCACGATGTAATGACAACAGCAGCAGCAAGTATACTCACTTGGCACCTGCCGTGTGCCAGGCAGTGTTCAGAGTGATGCACGTATACGTACAACTCTCCAATGTTGCTCCCGGTTCTGATGTGCATCCACATCAAGCAATTCTCCAACATCAGGTGGGTGTCCTACAATTTAACTCACTTCTGACACTATCTACCTGGAGATAACCTCACATTCCAAGGTTGAGGGCTCAGTCCCATAACATTGCTCCAGTGCAGATGCCAATTTCAAGTCCAGACTGTTACCTGTGCCTCTGACCTACTGGCTATAAATCAGAGGTTCCCACGACCCCCTTCCTTGGGTCTGATTAATTTGCTAGAGCAGGCTATTTTTCCTCTTGGATTGGCCTGCTCCCAATTCTTGGGAGTGTACTATCTTTCACTACCTTTTTACTTTACTAATAAAAATCTTGAAAAAAAATTTGCTAGAGCAGCTCACAGAACTCAGAGAAACATTTTGCTTAATAGATTATCTGCTTATTATTAAAGGATATATATCAGAAACAGCCAGACAGGAGAGATGATTAGGGCAAGGTGCGGGGAAGGGATGTGAAGCTTCCATGCCCTCTCCAGGTGCACCACTCTCCTCGAATCTCCAAGTGTTCACCAACCCAGAAGTTTTCTGAACCCTGTCTTTTGGGGTTTTTATGGAGGCTTCGTTACAGAGTAAATCATTCGTCACTGATGACTGATTCAACCTCCAGCCCCTCTCCCCTCCCCCAAGGTTGGAGGTGAAGGGGTGGCCTGAAAGTTCCAACCCTCTGGACTCTTGGTTGGCTCCCCTGGAAACTAGCCCTCATCCTTAGGTGCTTTCCAAAAATGACCTCATTAACATCAAAAGACACATTTACTGCTGTCATCACTTAGGAAATTCCAAGGGTTTTAGAAGCTCTGTGCCAGTTATAGGGATGAAGATCAAATACATATCCTTCATCATAAACCACAATATCACAGATCTAACCCTTGGGCTTAGCCATCAGCACACCCAGTTGAGAAAGTACCGTGATATGTCACAGAGCTAGGGAGCAGCAGAGTCAGGATCTAATCAGGTAGTTAATAGAGTTGGGGTTCTTGGCCAGTCGCTATTGTTCGAAAAAAGAAAAGAAAAGAAACAAACAAACAACAGGCCCAAAATGGAGTCACCTGTGCCAAGTCCCACATCACCAAACCCAGACTTAACTACAGTGTCAACCTCTGTCAGAAATGGAATCTTAAACCAGTCAATCTGGAATTAACTGGTTATCACTAGCAAAGTAATTCACTCTATAAGCCCCTGCCCTCCCCTAAAGGAAGGTGACCTTGCCTAAAATATCAGCGCATTGCTAGATTAACTTACTTGTCCTACCTCCTTCTGCCTATAAAACTTTCATTCTGCACAGCTCTTTGGAGCTCCTATCTATTTGCCAGATGAGATGCTGCCCAGTTCATAAAATGTTGAATAAAGCCAAAAAGATTTTAAAAATTTATTCAGTTTTGTTTTTTAAACACTATTCTACCCCTCAATTGGTCCACAAGAACATGACTTCATTTCTATAACCTCAGGGTACAGCAAAGGGCCAGACATGTAACCCTAGTAAATGTTTACTGAATAAAAGAATGAAAATGAGTACCCACAAACCTCCAGTATATGAAACAGACTCTTACTATAACTGCAGGGGATATGAGTGAAATTAATAGAAAAGTAATAAATAAAACCAGTGGTGCCAAGTGCTTGCATCAGTGTGACCAAGTACAACCTTCCCCTCATAATAAATGGAGGCCCAGATGAAGACACCAGACACCTGGGAACAGTGTGGACACTCAAGAGGCAGAGCATGTTCTCAGCTTCAGGTTCATGGGGCCAAAATCAAGGTGTGGCCAGGGCCACATTCTCTTCTAGAAGCCCTAGGGATAAATCCATTTCCACACTCACTCAGGTTGTTAGCAAAATTCAGTTCCAACATGGTGGCAGGAGGAGGATCCCAGTTTCTTTCCTGGCTGTCGACCCAGAGGTCCTTCTTGGTTGCTAGAGGCTGCCTGCATTCCCTGACCTGTGGTCCCCTCAAAGCCTGGAATAGCAGGCCAAGTCCTTCTCACATTTTGGTTCTCTGACCCTGTCTGCTTCCTCCCACCCATCAAGTCTCTGACAACTACCTTCTGCTGGGCTTCTAAGGACACACATGATCCCACTGTGCCTACCCAGGTAACCCAGGTTGAGCTCTCTCATTTAAGATCACATGGTTATAACCTTCATTCCACCTGCAAAGGTCTTTGCAGCCATGCCGAGAACAGCATTTGATTGAATGACCTGAGGAGGGGAATCTTTGACGACCACCTTTAGAGTTCTGCCTGCCACGGATGGCCTTTGGGAAATTAAACCCAAAGAATGCAAAAAAGGGTGATAAAACTACCTAATACAGGTGGAACAGGCACAGAGTGTTAGCTCTGCAGGGAAAGGATGGGGTTCAACCAAAGTGTGCTTTGTTTTGCAGAAACTAACGATTAGGATGCAGAAAGTTTCAGACACCAGATGTTCTGAGAAGGTTACAGTGGTTTCCAATCAACAAGACAGCACGGTGGGAGCAACCAGCCAGGCACCTACCTACCTGCTTGCAGTTTGGGGCAACTTTGTGTACCGGCCGCCTCACTGCAATGATCCCGCTTACATTTCACGCACATGCCTGCCCCCCAGGCTTAAACTCCCGGCAGAGCTCCCTCCCTGTCTCCTCACCTGTCGTGAGTGAAAAATTCTTCTACTTCACTGGGCAGTACTGGGGGTGTGCACTGGCCACGCCCCCCAGCAGCGGACCCGCTGTGACCGGGACAGCAGGGGGTCAGGGGCCAGCCACGCGCACCAACTCGGGCCGCTCTGTGCCCTCACTGCCGCCAGCCCGTCTAACCCTGGCCAGGCACACGGCTCGGGGGGCACGTGCGTGACAGGGGGCGGCGGCGCGTCCTTC